CAACGTTGTTAGAAAACTATCAAGATTAAGCTAATAGTAGTGAAATCAGTTACGTACTTATATTTATAACTGTCTACAATACCTATTACAAGCTCATATTGCACAACACACGAACAACGGGCGCTTCATTATGATGGGAAGTAAACAACATATTGTTTAACCTATCTAAATTAGTTTTGTAGACAATGTAGCTAAATGTTGCGCGAAACAATCCCCGCGTTATATAAGGAAATGTTAGGACTTTATTATGGGGAATTAATAGGAAATTTGCAAACTTTAAAACAATGACTCATTGCAATAATATTGTGCGAATTCCTCTATGAGTCGTACACTGGTATCCACAGCCACTGATATCGTTTATTCTATTATAGGACTATAGAAACAGCTGTCTGCGGTTTTGGTACAAAATAAAGTAATGTTAATTAAGTACCTGTAGACGAAACTAAAAGTTAACTTTTATGCGACAACAAATACCTTGTAATAAATTGGATTGTATTTGTCACGTAATTTAAAGACAAATCGTTAAAATTCTAGATAACTTCAAATTGGTCTATCTTATATTTAACCACGGAAACTCATTACGCCCAGGCAGAAAGTTATAAACCTAACAAATAGGCTTTTTTCTATCATTTATTTTCAATGGTTTATTGAAATTCCCTCTCTAAATACGGTGAATGTATCTCAAGGCTGATATCTGATCTAGTCTGGCCGTATTTAGACGGAAATATACTATTGTAACTGTATATTTATAAAGGCACCTGTCATCAGTGACCACTAATCCACAACCTTTCTAAATTCAAGGGCTGAATGACCAGGCGAAGATTATTGTCTCATAGATAATACAGATCTCACAAAATTAGTTGTTGGATCCAAATTCGTCAGTTATTAAGCCTACTCCTGCTAATGCCATAAATAGAGATTCTGAAGTTCCATAGCATCTCGTGAGCAGTTAGTCCTTGCAGGATATTTTCAATTTAACAACTTGTTGCGTTGTGTATTGTTGCCCCTACCACGCTTCACATACTTCCTATAAACAGCAGACACGATTGCATATTATTCGAATCAATTTCTTTAAATAAGCAATTTAGTTGCAGCATTTAATTAATTTATTCAGAAACTTGTTTGTTTTTATTGAAATATTTACGAAAATTACGTTCACTGTGAAATGTTAACAACATTATTATGTTTATGTTATTGTGTTTTTACAACAGTTGCGAGATGAGCTTCACGAAATTTATCCGCAACTAATGTTCTGTAAATTTCCTCGAGATAAGACTTGTTATTCATACGTACCTACCTAGAGCTCGACCGTTAATTCACCTTTAACTAGAATCTATATTTATCTACTTTCAATTATTTCTGAACTGCTTCTATCATTGTTTTTATCTTCGAATAATTATATTGTTCGTAACAGCCTTGGTTATTTAGTAAATTCATCCACTGTGTTTGCCATCAATAGAAAAATTCGTATCTACAGGTAGTGAGCTTGTCTATACAATACTTAAACCAATAATAATCTACGCGTTGCCCTGGATTCAGTTTGGATGAAATTATTAAACCGATTATTAAATCTTCAGATGTCACTCAAGTGAACTCCTGACTCAGTTATCACACGTTAACTAACGTCGCTAATTACATAAGCAATTACTTTGTCGTAAAATTAATTAAGATTGCTTGATTGGTATATTTACGTCATGGCTTCGATCTATTGTTTACAAACTAGGTTTCTCAATAGTAGCTACTTCTGTACAATGCTACTGTTTTTGTGGTGTTAGCTTACAAACAGGTTCCATTACTGCGGTAAAAAAATAATAACAGTGGTGACGCCATTTGATCCTCAACAATCGCTGTGTAAAGTTACATTAGCTCGCGCCTCGCGCCCATGTCAAATATACTGCGGGTATCATGTTCCGTGGTCGTGCCTGTTTGTCCACTAAAACTGACCACTCGGTTATCTTTACATGAACTCTTTGAACCGAATACATAATGGTCGACCACTAGGTTTCCTAAATAGCTAACGTGATCTAATGTATAATATTCGACAAGATAAGTACCTAATGTACGTGTAAATAATTGGTTTCCAGAACCGAGAGCACAAGCACCGGACGGAGGTGTACGTGATGACGGTGACGCAGGAGCTGGCGGAGTGGGAGGACTCGCGGCTGATGGGCCGCAAGCGGCAGTGGTTCTCGATAGACGACGCGCTGGCACAGCTGGCGCTGCACAAGCCCATCCAGCGCCACTACATCCAGCAACTGCGGCGCTCCAAACAGAACAAACCCGACGACCCCGGCAGCTAAGCGCCGCCCCGCCTAGGTTAAGTCAGCCCGGAACTGAATCGAGCCGCGTCGCCGCGCGGCGCCCCGTCGCGTTGGGCTTCATTACGACGGCGACGCCACAACACGTATAACATCTCCTTTTTTCTATTTTTACGTATATTTTTATACTACGATGGAATAAATGTTAATTTTATTTTGTTAGCATTAAAACGAAAAGACATACAAGCTCTATTTTTATTTAAAATTAAAATTAATCTGGTTTTTATAGTCCTGAATGAAATGAGTTTTAAAATAAATTTTATATTGCTCTTCTGTAAAGTTTTTGTTTGGTGCACGATGGTTACCCAAATATTTACCTTGCGGAGCAACACGCTCTGATTTTAGACGTTCGACAAAAACCGATTGACGTATTTTGTACATAATCCTATTGGAATAGTTAGAAGCCAACACACGTCATCAAATTGACACAAACTGAATTTCAATGCATATATTACTCTTATAAAAGACGAGTCCGTCGACATGTAGTTATATTCTGGTGATGCTAGCTAGGAACACCCAGACACTGATCACATTGTTAGGGTAGGCGCACACCTCCACGCCGAGCGCGAACTCCACGTTAGGGTCATCACTCAGGTGCAATCCTGTGCTCTTGATGGCAGATATCACAGACTTTGTGTTAACATACGCCAAGTTTAGCGGAAACCCGAATATCTGCAACCAACGAATTACAAACATCAGAATACTTACAAGAGAATCCAAATGGGTTAACAAGATTTTAAGAAGTTACCTTAAATGTAACCATTAAATGTTTGAGTTTCTGGCTGAAACTGGGCTTGGGTCCTGTGGGGTTGAACACCCAGTACTCCCACTGAAGCAGCATGTCACGTAACAGCGTGCTGCAGTACCTAAGAATACGAGAAACTATTTGAAAATGAAATGTCCTTTTGGAAACACTTGAGAAAAAGAAAACACTTTTGGATTATAAGTAAGACTTCCGGGCAAGAGGTCTCGGGTTCGATTCAAGATTGTCGGTATTACTGGGCTTTTTCAAAAAATCTCAGTAGTAGCACGGAGTCTGGAATTGTGCCCGGTATATGGCAATAGGCTCACCCCCTATTAAATAGGACTCATAACATAAATAGTGAAAAGTGGGTGTTACATTGTACAGTGGCATTAAGTGCCGTAATATTCACCTCTGCCTACACCTTCGGGGATAAAAGGCGTGATGTTATGTTATGTTATAAGTAACTTAATTTTGTATATGACATAAATAAAATGACGGTGGAACAAGACCGTTATCATGAATCATGTTTTCAAAGTATAAACACAATAGCTATAAATTAAATATTAGTTAAAAATACATATCTAAAGCAACTTTCTTAACTACCATCAATCTAGTGTCATATGTTATGGACGTATCTTTTGATCTTTTTCAACAATTGGACAAATTGTACCGAAGTTTTGAAAATATATGAGAGTGACTGCACGGTTGGTGCGGTGGCTGGGCAACCGGCTGCCGTGCAACGTGTCGCGGGTTCGATTCCCGCACGGGACAACACTTTGTGTGATCCACAAATTGTTGTTTCGGGTCTGGGTGTCATATTGTGTATGTGAACTTCTATGTTTGTAAACGCACCCACGACACAGGAGAAAATCCTAGTGTGGGGCAACGTTTAAAAAAAAAAAAAAGTCTGAAACTAACTGCTCAAAAGTTAGTTAAATAATTTTACTTGAAATGGTCGTCAAGGGTAAGTATCTTCTTCGATATCCATTTGGCAGCCTATCGTCTTTTAGCTGACCTGTTCCAAATAGTCTTCATATGAGACCTCCACTTCTGGACTTTACTCTTGATCTTCGTCTCCAGCGCACTCCTCAGTCCCTCCACATTAGGTGGGGTAGAGTACAGCGCACTGTCTGTCACTACCGGCTGCTTCATCACGAACACATTTTTATCGAAAACCTGAGGAAAGAGATGTAATGTGGAAAATAGAAGTCTGCATTCTTGCGTGATGATTTTGTTACATAGATCGATACTTACAGCTTGCCAATCAGACGATTTGGTGAAATCAAACGACATATTCTCACAATCTTGGGACGATTGCACATTCACCCATATCTGAAAATTAGTATGATATAATCTCTGATATCCTCAGGTTGTCATGTACCTATCCCAATATTTAAATTGTCACTTACATTTTCGTTATCAAACACATAATCAACAGTCTTCAGAGGACAGCCGACATCTCTCAGCTCGTACCGCTCCCCGCTACTGGCATCACATACATACCATGTATACCCATCAGACTTATTCAGGAACCCTCTACTCCTGAACAGCTGGTCGTTTTCCAGGACTATCCTCCTTGTAGTCAAGTCATACTTGATGAGAACGAAGCTACTGTGACCTCGAGGTAGGCCTAGGCCAATGGCCACCCAGCACTTGATGCCCAAGTATATGAAGTAGCTGGCTAAAAGGATGGTGTGATCCAATGGCGAGCCATGAAGTACTTTTAGCAGTTCCTGCGGAGTGAATAATACTGTAGCTACTGTTTCTATTCTAAGTACAATCAACAAGTATGAAGATGAGGGTTACTAACAAGCCCCAGCAGCGTAACCGCATGAGACTCCGTGACCTCGTAGCTGGGTATCAATGACACGTATCGCATGCACGCGTTCATCATCCTCCCGAGACTGTCACCCTCACGAGCGCTGTACACTGACTCCCTCTCTTCTTGACTTACTCTATCTAAATCCAACTCTTTTCGTCTTCCACTTGAGGACGAACTTTTGGAAAATCCAGAAGACTTCGAGATAGCAGAGTCTCCTCTTGGATTCTTCGGGATGAAGTCCCTCTCGGGTAAAGGTATCGGCTGCAGGAACTGGGTGACGCATTTATTCCTACCCATGCTATCTATAAAAGTCAAAGAAATATTCCGCATCGGAAATTCGTTTGTGTATTCTGTTACAAAATTGTTCAAATGTTTGATCAAATAATCGTCTTCTATTGAGCTTGGCAGCGGCTGGTTGTAAGCGTGCAATCCTCCCAAATGTGAGAGGCTACTTGTTATTTCTAACGTAATGTATGCGGTGTCTTTCTTCAAGAGTTGTGTTATTTCTGGGATTAGCGATGTTGACTCCTTCGTTTGGAGGGTTTCGTAACCAAACAAGAGTGGCGGGCTCGTGATCTTGAATGTGCCCCGAAGCTGGAAGCGTGATAGTAATCTACGTTAATATCACTTAGATCATGTGTGCAAATTGTATGGGTACCTACTAAATACAGGTGGATTTAGAATAAGCACACATCGTAAAATAAAATATTTGGCAAACTAATCAATAAAATCTTCGTGGAGCGTAAGTCGTAAATATTAGTCTTTGTCGTTGTAATCCCTAGAGCAATACATGCCAACTGTTGCCTATTCCGACAATAGTGTAGGTGGTATCTACTACACGTCGCGTCAGTGCGACACGCCCATCGTCCTCTGGCGCCATCGCCAATCTTCGTTGGCAGGACGTTACTCTCATTGTGTATGAATCACGCTGCTTCCTGGCGACATTCATACTTCCAATGGACACACCTCTTTACTAAAATGAGGATGTTGCTGTCTCTTATTCTCCTGTACTATATTTAGATCTATTATACTGGTAAGTATACAATAAATAAACTTTGTCTTCGTTTAGAAATTCGTTTAAGCAAACTACATAATCAGTAAATTCTAAGACGGTTTGATACGGAGAACTACCTAAAGATTCACGCGACATCCTATTGGGGAGGCCTATGTATGACCAGTCCTGGATGTACCCATCGTAGGGCTAGGGATAATAATGAAGCTTACGAAAAGTATATGAAGTACTTACAGTGCCCAAAGTCAAGACGGCATACATCGGTATCTCGAGAGTGCCAAGCCACTTGTTGTAGTACCGGTAGTGAACGGTCTTGTTGGAGTGGTCCTCCTCTGGGAACCCTTCTACTATGTTCGCTTTGTACTCGTCGTAGATGTTTACGTGGAGGGAGGAGAGTGGGTCTAGTCTGTAAGAAGACTGCAGGTTCAATAATTGAATTCAAACATGCAGAGTAAAATAATGATTGAGTCTAAATACATAGGTACCAACTTAGTGTTAATCTTGAGGGTATGACTCCAGGACGGGTGGCAGCCGATGGCAGTGACAGTCTGAGCTGATGCTCCTCTATAGTTCACTCGAACGAACGGCCTTAGTGGTCTCATCTTAAAACCTGAAACAATATTGACAAATTTAGACGTGTTAAAGAGAAATCATGACCAATGAACAAGTCAAATAACTCGCCTGCAATCTTATCTTCATCCTCAGATGCCTCGTCAAGCATAGTGCAAGTCCGGTCGAGTAGATTGAATGCCCTCAACACAGTCACATGGATCTCCTGATCTTTGCTTAGTGACTCTTTCAGGATCTGCTGCTTCGTAGAGTTTGATGCTGTTGCCAGTGCTCCAACATCCGATTGATAGGAAAAAAGACTTCTAGAAAATGAATTGGACGTTAAATTCACATTTTGCTTCTTTAAATAAAAATACTAACAATAGTAACCTGAAACTGAATTTGTACTCCCGAACAACGTCTTTGTGTGTCTTCTGTAAAAGGTATTCGTTTAAGTTTCTCAACATATTCTTATTTAGCTTCTGAACATACTTTGCTCCAATAAATCTCTGCAACTCTATAGGATCCATCTCCATTTCTTTATCGTTCAAATAGTCCATATCAAAATCGTTGTCGTTTGTCTTTTGTAGACAGTTTAACTGCTCTGTGGTTATTTGGCTTGCATGGATAGGAACTAATTTCTTCTCTATATCTGTAAATCCTCCGATATTTCTCAGGTGAAGTAGTTTCAACCTCACAACGTCTGGATTATTTTGATCCAAGGGGAAGCTATCGTCATTTGTAATTTCCATTTTGCTTAGTTTTTGCAACATCTCGACCATGTTTTCATCACTTACATCCTTTTCGTATACTTTATTTATAACATCTAATAACACTTCAAAACTTGGCTTATCAATACCATTTATTAGTCTTTTTATTTGCCTACCAATTTCTGTAGAAGATTTTATTGCTTCAGATTGATTTTGTTCTAACTTATCATTCCACCCGACTTTAATATCAATTTCGTAATTTGTATAAAGCTTTCCTTTGAATAGATTGCTGCTCTTAAGTCTAACTTTGTTAGCGTGAGCTATCTCTTTAATAGTTACGCCACTTCCTACATATTTAAAGTTTGGTTCAATAATATCTTGAAAAAATAAATTTTCAGTTACAAAATCTGCATGAGCATTTGTTTTTCTTACATCCTGTAAGTTTATTTTCAAATCTGCAACTTTCTTATCGTTCTCTATTAAAACTATTCTTACACTTATATTTTTTGGCAAAATTTGTACCGAGAAACTCTCATTTAACTGTACGCTAAACATATCGTCACTTAAATAATTTTCAGATTCGCATACAAAAACATCATCTACGTAAACCAGGAAATTATAGTTATGTTTTAGGAAGCGTTGTCCTATTTGTTTAAAATCTGTTAGTATGCTTTCGTCTTTTTTCAGTTCAATATCTATCTCTTCTTTATTGACTACCTCATCAACAAACATTTCTGCCTCACTTTTAATTTTTTCTTCATCAATTATTAACTTAGGCTTTATCGGTTTATTATCAGGATTTCTTTTGTGTTCACTTTTCGCTTCTTTATATTCTATATAATTAGTAACATATTCGTACTCAATTAAATCAAGTATATCTAAATATTCTGTGTTAAATGTATCATTCCATTGTTTCTCGAATTCATTTTCATTGTATTCTATTTTCGTGAAGTCTAATAAGTACGGTGTCTCGATACACTCGCGTTTCTCCCTTACCATTTCAATATCAGACCATAACGATATTACCTTGTGCATAAATTGTTTCTTTAATTTTATATTTTCTTTAAATACTGCTTTAAGGTGTATGAGTTTGTCGGTATACTTTCTAACAGTTTTATCGAATCGAACATCCTCTTTCTTACTAGGGCTGACTTTCATCAAATCTGCTTTAAGATTATCCTTTGTTTCCCTATTCACTTTAATGTCCTTTGAAAGAACTTTCAAAAGTTTTTGAACTTTACTATATTCATTATATGTGTCTAAAAGTTTCGAACAAAGTAATTTTTCTAATGTAAATGAATGGTGGTGTTTAGCTGTAATATTTCTTATCAATATGTCTAAGAATTTAATGGAGGTCTCATTATTGGTATCGTTGTTTTTGCGTACAATATCGTTAAATGTGCACGGTTCTACATATTCGCCTTCTACCAGACAAGCTTCAGTCACTGCATTTTCCAGAATTCTCGGAAATATAGGACTCAAGTTTACCAGATCTGATTTGGAATTCCATCTAAAATGATAACAAAAATAATATTAACATGGTAGCATTATGTAGGTATGTTACGCGACTACTATAACCAACGAGTCGGTAAAGTAAAAGTAAATATATACATACATCATTTCACAACTGTATCACATGGGGTAGTCAGAGACTGAAACGCCAATTGCTACGATTCCTACTAACCTCTTTCCCTAAAAGTAAGCATTCTTGAATTTTGGAAGAACTCATGGGCTCTTCTCCGTCTATACCTATATTAATATCTGAATACTTTTTCAGGAAATAAAAATGCGTGATTGTGATGTAGTTAATACAATAAATAAATATTTGGTAGGTACCAGGACAACAAACTTACCCACTTTCAGCATCAGAGATAAAGGTTCTAGATTTTCGAAATGTCGTATTAGATAAACTTCGCAAATAACTACTTTGTCGTTCTTTACTAACATCGACCATGGTAACAACATTTTCAGTTACAGGTGCCACTGAAGCTGCTATTTCAGAACTTATAATATCCATTAGATTAGAAGACTTATCTTTCTTCTTCGATTTTTTCTTCTTCAGATGCTTCTTCTTTTCAGTTTTTACATCGTGCTGGGTGAAAAAATCATAATCGTTCAACCGTTTTGGAGATGGTTTTGATGAAAAAGAAGTTTCTATGTCATCAAGTGTTGTATCTTGTTTTATCTCATGATATTCCTGGATATCATTTTCAAGCGAGTCATCTGCCGTATATGTGTTTAATTCTGTGTTTCCATTCATAACGGGGTAGTTTTAATTTCACTGCAAAATACACAGAAGTTTATTGTTGGCGCCATTCGTTGCTATGACAACGGTTTGGACAAGGTTTAGCTATGTACTTTTTGCTTTCTTTTTTGTTTGTCCCTCGTTTTCTTTAATTGACTATAGTCAGAATTTTAATTAGATTCCAGATTTGACAATAGCTACTGTCATTTTGTGAAATAATGATACCACATATAATAGTGTAGTGATGAACACAAAAATCGATAAACAATCAGTGTGTGTGTTTTATAATAAATGTTACAGAAAGTGACAGGATAGCGATAGCGATGACGGCGACAATTTATAAAATAACTTATTACCATAATACATCTATCTGTTTTATTTGTCATGTTCCTTCATGATTACATTTTTTTATTTATTTCACACACAATTATAAAAGAAAAGTCTCAGATCGTTAATTAATCGTCAAAACTAAATTATCGGTTCAAAAATATTTAATTTTCTGATATACTTAATTTACGAGAGTAAAATTATAAACGAGAAGAATCGATCCAGAAATATTGCATTTCTATATCGAATAATTTCGCAACGTCACTATTTAGTACTTGTCATAACGTTGCAACCCTGAAATTGTCAAATCTGGAATCGAATTAAAATTCCGAGTATAGTTTCGATATGGTAAATTTTTAAATAAAATATTTTAAAGAATCTCATAAATATTTTCTCATAGGACCTTAACGCATCAAAAAAATTATCCTCATCATTGTCATGTGGTAAGGTGCCCAAAAGACTAGCAGCCCTTTGACCATTTCGACCAAAATAGTAGCCAGACTTTCGAACACCTGAAGCAAAGAGTATAATAAGTATAGGCGATACCTGAAGTGTCAACCATCTTTACAATATTTATGACTGCACGGTTGGCGCGGTGGCTGGGAAGTGGCTGCCGCGCAACGTGTCGCGGGTTCGATTCCCGCACGGAACAACTCTTTGTGTGATCCACAGATTGTTGTTTCTGGTCTGGGTGTATGTGTAGGTATGTGATATTGTATGTTTGTAAACGCACCCACGACACAGGAAAAAAATCCTAGTATGGGGCAACGTTATTTAAAAAAAAATGTAAAGAAGATGTGCACTTGGACCCCACGACCCTAAAGTTTCAACCCCAAACGGTTTGAAAGCATAATTGCCAATCAGGCTATTATACTTTCGCCGTTTGAGGTTCTCAGCAAACATTTAATTTTTTCATTGTATGATCCTTTAAAAGCTTGTATTCAAATATTATGGTAGGTAGCATGAAAAGTAGAAAAAAGGGTTCGATGACCCAAAGAGTAAATGACCATTTGGCTTTGAAACTTCAATCAATGCGTCAAACGTCAAAAAATGACAAATTGAGAATATTGACAATTTGACATTGAAATTGTCACAACAAAGAGTTTGTGTTACGGTGGTTTAATTTTGTAAAACGAAAGTTTATTATGATCAATAATGGCACGATTTCGATTAAAGGATAGCGAAGAATATTACCTAGCACTCTCTGAACAGCCCAAGCGTTTTGATGCTGATAGTCCTGTTACAAATGTGTTTTTCGACGACAGCAATGGACAGGTTTGTTACAAATTTTATGTCCTTCATATTATTTTTACGTAGTTTTTGTTAATAAATAGGTTGTTTGTTATTGTACCATAAGCATACATACAAAATCTTGTAAGGTATTCTCATCATAATGAGTTACAGGCAATGTTTTAAGATGTCTGAGTGATTACATGTCTATTGTTTTTTAAGGTATTTACTGTTAGATCTGGGGGCGTGACGGGCGTGACGGTGACTGGCATGGACAAATCGAATTCAACTTCATTCCGAATGGAGGATCGAGGACCAATAATATCAATAAAATTTTCTCCAGACCTTAAAATATTGGCAATACAGAGGAACCAAGACAATCAGAATGCCACAGTGGAGTTTGTAAACTTTAAAGACTTAGCTCCAACCAATGTGGAGTACTCTCATACTTGTAAATGGAAGAACGCAAAGATTTTAGGCTTTGTGTGGCCTAAAGTGAATGAAATAACATTTATTACTGACCATGGGATTGAACTTCTGCAAGTTATACCTGATAAGAAACAGTTGAAGAGCTTGAAAAATACTTCATTTAGGTAATAACTGCAATAGTCATTGTTGTTTGAGGGTGAAGGTTGAGCAAGGTCCCATTTTATGGAATGTGAAATTTGACCTGATAAATATTATTGTAATGATTTATTTGACATAGATATCAGTGAATTATTAGTTACAAAACATTAATTAGTTGCTTATAAGTAATTATTCAAAGAATTGCCTTTCAAAATAATTTTAATATTGATTGTTTGCTGTTTCCAGCTGTGCATGGTTCTCATGGTGCTCACAGAGTAACATAGTGTTGCTGGCAGGTAACAATGGGGTGCTGCTGCAACCATTCTCACTCAACAACTCCACCATCACTAAACTGCAAAAATTGGAATGTAAGAGATAAAAAAATCTAATCTTTATTCAGAGCTAAAGGCCTAGTGACTTTCTGACTAGATTTCAGAAAGATTTAGGCTCAGAGTATAATTTAAGCAACGTGGACCCGCATCCTTTTTATGTTTGGGAACCCGTTCTAATCCACAGCCTTGGGTTGAAAGACAAAGCGAATATGAGATTCCATCAGCACCATCAGCAGGAAAATTATAAACTATTCTAATGTAAGTACTGAATTCTGAATGTTACAGTGGAGGCGACGCGGCCGGTGGTAGAGCGCGACGTGTTCACGTTGAGGCTGTGCGACGCCACCTGGTGCGCCATCTTCCGGCACGCTCAGTCTGCCACCGTCGCCGCGCCCGGACCCACCGAGGTAACTACTTACTAGTACTTACCTAGCTTATGATGTGTGCCACAACATCACAATTATCATTAAAATAACTTAGAGAAAGCTCCTAATTATGTATGTAAGGCTTTCCTTTAGCTTTTTTTGTATCTATCTAGATTCGAAATTATTAGGACAATTTTACACTGACCATGAGCAGAACTTTCAGACTGATAATGTGAATGTATTTGCTTCCAGGTATGGTTGATGCCGATCACGGGTCCGTCCGGTTTCCACTACACGCACGTTCTGAAGACAGGCCTGGTCGGCAGGTTTGCCGTCAATGTCGTAGACGACCTCGTCGTGGTCCATCATCAGGTACAGTGCTGCTAAATATTGTCATACTAGCTGCGCGGTTACGCCTACTGCTCTAATTGATCGCAGCACGGTGATTGATAACAAAACACATATTTCAATTTCGAATCAGTAATTCTCAAGATTAGTACATTCAAAGTCAATGCATTTATTTCAATTAATCCTTAATTAGGCACTTGAAACATCAAAAATTTAACTGTCCGTCCATCTGTCTGTCAGTGAAGCTAGGTGCTCGTTCAAGAAACTCCATCGTCCATTACTCTTTTAATTTTTTTTTTACAGTGTCATTGATACATTATCTGATCCTTTATCTAATGCATATACAGGGTGTCTCCGATGTCTCCGATCAAACGAATAAACAAACTCCTCAGCTTTATAATATTAGTGTAGACGTATATTAAAGCAATGTGTATTATGTTCCAGGCCAGTCAAACATCCCAAGTGTTCGATATAATGGAGCAGTCGAGGCCGGAGGGCGGCGGCGTGGTCCACATCCCGCTGGTGGGCGCGACCAGCCTGCGGCCGGCGGCGGGCGGCGCCCTGTACAGCGACACCTGGGTCGTGTTCCAGCCGCACTACATCATCGACGCCAGGCTCGGCTGTCTCTGGCGCGTACATCTCATACCCGCTGGACTCGCGCACTCGGTAACATACCCTTCATTCATTATTTTACCAACAACAGCCAGTAACAGCCTGTTTAGAGTCCACTGCTGGACCAAGGGTCTGCTTTTCAAAGGAGGGGTTTGCCATGATCTCCACGCTTAAAACGTCAACCTGCTTGGAGATTGTACGGAGAACCTAACGGGTAACCGGGGCTCCAGCTCGACGTGCAGGAGAAGGAACGGGGTGGTTTTTAGTCAGTAAAAGTATGACACTCCCTCCCGCCTCACCCAGGCGGGAACAGTCATTCGATGATTTTCCCCGCTTAAAAAAAATACCTTTTTTATAATGATTTTATGAACATCATTTGGTGGAGGCGGATTTGAAGGATAAAACCGGTAGAGGTAACTGGCGAGAAACTACCATAACAAAACAGAAGCGGCCAAGATCCACTTTGGCTCGCTGAACCTATTGTACTCGACATTGTGATAAAAAAGTAGAGAATTCGTTTCGCAATATTTTTCGTCCATAATTTTATTAATTTTGCATTATTTAAATTAAATTGTACAGGTACCAAAAGACGAGATATCAAAGATCGTGGCAGTATTGCTCCGGCGCACGGATGGCAAGGACGCTATCTACAGGGTGCTCAACCAGCTCGTGGCCGAGGCAGGCACCTACCTCGTGCAGCTGTCTGATGTCTTCGACGAGATACATACTGTATACAGGTTGGTAAAGTTATTCTAAATGCAGTGTTGAAGTTTCGCCATAGTAGGTATTGTTGATGTACTTATCTAATTATTGTGGTCAAAAACATGAAGATTAAGAAGCAATTTAGCATTTTTTATTAATTTATTATTTGATCGCAGTTAGTTTGCTTATTTGATGTAATCAATGTTGTGCATTATGTTTATTTATAATTCTTGGCGGATTTATCACTACATAGTATAAAACAATGTCGCTATCCGCCGTCTGTCTATCCCTATGTATGCAGAAATCTTTAAAAGTACGCTGCGGATTTTGATGCGGTTTTTGTCATACAATATGTATAATACATGCATATTGCATCCGTGCGAAGCCGGGGCAGGTCGCTAGTAGCTTATAAATGGATAAAAATAACAATAGGCGTAGGTATCAATGAGCTAATTGCAAGTCCTCACGTTTAAAATTTAGAATAAATTAATTAATCTGGTGTGTACTATACAAGATTAAAACAGAGTAAGAGAAACAAGAAAAAAATAAATTTATTTTGCTGCTTATAAAATTTTAAGGCTTAAGCACCTCTTAAATAATAAATATATTTATTTTTTACCAACATGGTATACAAAGGTCTTAAAATTTAATTATGGTTCCCATGCTTTGCTTAAAAATTGACATTTAAATTTAAAACTGTAAGTTTGTACCTCTATTACAAACTACGTGCTGGTTAGAAAAAAAGATATATAAGTTTGTGACCATGACACATTATTAAGTGCGATTCCTATAATACCCACATTCACTAATGTCCGCAGAATGTCATGTGTAAACAAAAACAAATCAAAAAATAACCCAGTTGTAAGATGATTGTCATTAATACTTTTTAAAACATTTTGTGTGAAGGTATTGGTGAAGGAAGGAAGAAAATATTGCAGTATTTGTTGATCGAGGTCATATTCCTTACAAATATTGTTAAAGTGCCTGCTTGCACGCACAATGTAACTGTTCTGCCTGTAGTTAGATGAGAAACGGGATAAATGTAAAGGTGGAATAAATCGAAAAAAAATATTAGGTACATTGAAATTGATTTTTGATAATAGTTCTGGCCTATCCACATTGCCAACAAGAATAAACAATTTGCAATGCTGCTGCGATATACCAGTGGTAACAGATGGAATCTTCTACATAGTTCAAGATAACGGGCAGACTCATATGGTATATTTTGGTGAAAACGAGAGAGAGGTGAGATATTTTATAAAACATTTTTGATTGTTTTGCACGAGGCAATATATTTCTGATATCTTGGATTCCATATCTGAAACGCATATTCCAGCTGGCTCCTGACATAAGTGCAATATAGTATTTTAAGGGTCTTTGCATCACAGATGTTTTTCTGTTTGTTAGGAAGTGGGCGGACCTAGAGATGGCCCGCAACACGGCGGGGCCGGCGCCCCAGCCGGACGGCGGGGCGGGGCGCGCGCGCGTGCTGATCTCGCAGGGCGAGCTGTGCGCGCACGTGCTGCAGCAGCACAGCGAGGCGGCGTGGCTGGTGCAGGTGGTGACGTGCTACGTGGCCTCGCTGGCGCGCGCCGGCCTCGTGGTGCAGGCGGCGGCCGCCGAGCTGGCCGTGCGCGCGCTGGTGACGCGGGGCGCGG